CTCCAGGATGCCTGGCTGTAAGGTAAAAAACTCACTTTTCTTCTCAAGAATATCATTGCCTGGCAAAAGAGGAAAGGCAAGAGTCAATATGCCTGAAGCCTTCATCTACAGTCCAATCTGCTCACGCTGGAAGAAGCACCTTCTAGTTCAGGATTCCTACAGCGTCATGGCCCAAGGGTCAGCTGCCTGTTGCAGCCTCAGCACACAAGAACTGAAAAGCCAGAAAAGCTGGATACCTTCCAGGGCTCCCACTGCCTGAGAAAATATAATCACTATCAGCTCCTAGAGTCAAGTTTCCATGAAGGGCAAGGTGCTAAGGTGTGGCAGTTTCTGAAAGAGCCACTTTCTAAGCACATTAAAGAAAAATCCGTAAGCACAAAGACTTAGTCTTAATGTTCCTTTTGTGAATAATGTTAGTAAGAACTAATTGTTCAACCACGGGGCAATGTAAAAGATTCACTGTAATAACTCTGAGCAGGCAGGAACAGAGTGTGGGGAAAAACCTCAAGTATCTGGAATAATCTATTCTAGAAATGTTTTCAGTCTTGTGGCCAAATCACAGTCACATTGTTCTTCAATGACAAGAACTGGATTTAGGTGCCAGCAGACAGTGCGGAGGTTAAGGAACTGGAGCCCACCTGACTGACTGTGTGGTTCAAGTCTTAGACCCAGTAGCTTTAAAAACATGCCAGGTGTGTTTGCTTTGTGTACCCAAAATCCAGAGAGGAGAGTAGAAGAGAAGGAATTGTGGCATGGCCACCTCACCGGGAGGTGATTTCTCATTTCCTTCTCTCTGTCTCTATTTCTCTCTGGCTTGCAGGTGCCCTGGGGCAAAACAAAACAAAACAAAACAAAAAACCCAAAAACCAAAAAACTAGATTTAGATTTAAGGTTTTAGGTTTGGGATCAGCAGTTGGTGTAATGGCTGTGTCACTGGATTCCCATGTGGTCGACTGCAGTTTGAGTCCTGGTCAGGATGGCTTAAACTCACACTGGGCGCATACGCGTGCATATCCAAGATCCTGAGAGGAGAATGGAAGAGAAGGGATTGCAGCCTGGGGTGATTTCTCCCTTTCTGTCTCTCTGGCTCTCTCTGTCTTTCTGGCAAGCGCACGCGCCCTATAGAAAAAGAAAAGAAAAAGGCTTTAGGTTAAGTAGTTCTAAACCCTCCAGGTACAATAGAATCATTTAATGAACCTAAAATTACATATTTTTCCTTATTCTACCCAGAGATTCTTATTTAATTAGTATGGCATGATGCTAAAAAATGGGTATTTTTTTCAAAAAAATTTTTAAGTCTGTAAATTGAAAAAATTACAATGGAAATCTGGCAGTGTATTAGTTTCCTGTGGCTGCTGTAAGAAATTATTATAAATGTTGTGGCTAAAACAATACATATTTATTCTCTTAAAGTCCTAGGGGTCTCACTTGTCTAGCATCAAGATGTCAGCAGAGCTGTTTTCCTTCTGGAATGGGAAGAATCCATTTCTCTGCCTTTTCCCACTTCTAGAGGTTGTCCACATTCTTGGCTCACTACCTCTTTCTCCACCTTCAGATCCAGGGACATCAGGTCAACCCAGTCTTTCTCACCCTATTTCTCTGGTTCTCCGTTTGCCTTTCTCTTACTCATTTAAGGGCCCTTGTTATTACTTTGGGCCCATCTATGGAATGTTCTCCCTATTTTAAGGTAAACTGATTAGCATCATTAATTCCCTTTTGCCATATAACTTAGCATCTCTACAGGTTCTGGGCTTCAGGAGATGGGAATTTGGGGGCAGAGGGGCATTATTCTGCTTGCCATAATTAGCATTTACTAAAACTGAACACATGCATGCCTTATGAACAAGCAATTTCACTCCTATGTGAATGCGTATATATAGTCTACAAAAAGATGTTTGCTAGATTATTTGTGGCAGCATTGTTCATAATTATCCCCAACTGGGAACAACCCGATGGATTAGTAGCAGCTTGAGTGTGGTGACCAGAGCTATCAGTTAAACATTCAGATCTCCTTTGGAGTTGGACGAATGGCATAGTTCCTCCATTGCAATGATTTTTTTTTTTTAATTTGGAGCTTTTAGTGTATTTTCCTCATATCTAAATTCTGTGGTTAATTTATGATTCCCTCTCTCTCTCTCTCTTTTTTTTTTACTAATGATATTATCGAGGTATAATGTATTTACATAAAAACTCACTTATTTTAAGTCTAAGACTCAGTGGTTTATTTACAGAATTGTGCAGCTATTAATGTAATAAGGAATCTTTGGCTATTTTTCTGGTAATTGCTTTTTTAAAAGAATTATTTAATTTTATTTATTTATGTACTGATTTTTTTATTTTGGAGAGGTTTTTGCTATAGGGTGCGTGTGCTCGCCAGAAAGACAGCGAGAGACAGAGAAACAGAAAGCAAGAAATCATCCCCCAGGGGGGTTGGCTATGCCGCAATCCCTTCTCCTCCATTCTCCTCTTGGGATCTTGGGCACATATGCACATGCGCCCGGCATGAGTTGAAGCCACCAGGTCCAGGACTTGAACCGCTGTCAACTACATGGGAGTCCAGCGACAGCCATTATGCCACTGATGGTCCCACTTACTGATTTTAATTTGAACAGAGAGGGATAGAGTGAAAGGTAGAGAGAAAGCAAGAAAGCAAGTCACCAGGTCTAGGACTCGAACCATGGTAGACCATGTGGGAGTCAGTGCCCTTAACCACCATACCACCTGCCGGCCCCTGATAATTGCTTTTCTTTTCTTTTAAAATTATTTATTTAATTTTATTTATTCATTCATTTATTTTAATTTGACCAGAGAGAGGAAAGTAAGAAAGCAAGCCACCAGATTCAGGACTTGAACTGTGGTCAACCATTGGGGAGTGTCCAGTGCCTTAACCACCATGCCTGTTGGTCCCCGATTGCTTTTTTTTTTTTTTTTCCAATTTGCCAGAGGGCACATGCGTTCTCTGGAAAGATAGAAAGAGGGAAAGCAAGAAAGCACATCCACTTCACCTGACCAGGAGAGTCACCACTGCAGTACTCTCTCTACTCTTTCAGGATTTTGGGTATAGTTTGTGTGGTCTAGCACCTCAACCACCGTCTTTCAGGATTTTGGGTGTAGTTTGTGTGGTCTAGCACCTCAACCACCGTGCCACTGTCT